AAAATGTCCACTTCTCCACAGAAACAGCTTTTCTGCAGCCTCAGTGAGTCTTTACCTAAAAAAAGGCATCTCTTCTGTTTGCAGAACCTGAACGGGGAGAGGTCTCTGCTATGAAGAAAAAAAATGTGGATGCTTCTGTCTGGGTGCATGGAGCTGAGAGGCTGGCCAGACCTGGCCAAAAAAATGCTGACTTTGCAGCCACTCCCTGGGCCAGAGGGGCTTCAGGCTAGAGTCTGAAAAAAAAGGGTCAGCAGCTGTGATGTCACCAATTGTGACCTCAAGGACTTATGACCTCGCAAAAAAATTGTAGGCACTGCCTGTCTGGGGGCCCTGGGGCTGCTGTTCCTGTGGTAGGGTGGCAGCTGGGACCATGGCCAGCTTCAGTCCACCTGGCGTCACATAAGCCAGCCCACGGGGTCCTGCAGCTTGTCCTTTCTGGCTGGAAGCTCCGGGCATAACCTGGGACTGGGTCTCCCCAGAGAGGGCTCTAGCCAGGGCCCTGCCAGCCTCGGGGGCCACAGCGGCTCTCACACCAGCAAAAAAATGGCCAGAAGCAGTTCCAGGACGCTCTGATCACACCTCATCATCATCACTGCCAAAAAAAAAGGCAGCTGCCTGGTGAGCGCTGGCAGCCTGCGTGGCTGGAAAGGACAGTCCCAAGTCGGTTAGGGACTTGGGAAGCAACAACAGGGTGGTGAAGAGCCTGGGATGGGGTCAAAAAAAAAGAAGGCAGCCCTGGACTCTGCAGCAGCCCTGCCCCTGGGGGGCAGATTCAGCAGTCAGCTTACAGGGTCATCCCCATGACCTAGGGGTCAGGTGGGAGGGTATGGGATGGGCAAAAAAATATGGGATGGGTCCCTGACAGCATCTGCTGCAAATCTCTGGAGCGCTCCTGCCAAAAAAAATCCCTCAGTTCCTGTGGTAATGCTGCTTCCCTGGTCCAGGACTGTCTAAGGCTGCGTGGCCCAGCAGGAGGAGCACAGGCCACCCATCCTGAACCTCTTCCCCCACTCACTGAAAAAAAGCAGGCAAATCAGTTAACTTCCCAGAGCCTCAGTTTCCTCACCTGAATTATGGAAAAAAACATAATATGTTCTCCATCAGGTAGAAAAATAAATGAAGTGAGGTTATGCATAGAAAAAAACAGACACTTAGCAGAGGCCACAGGCACCATTCTACAGCCTCCCACTGTGGCCCTGCTGCCTGTCCTGGCCCGGGCTTCCCCGTGCCGCGCACTCCTCAGGGTTGAGCCTAGGCAAAAAAAGACTCGCCCAAGTGCACCTAAAAGGAAGGGGCTGAGCTGGGGCCTGGCCCAGGAAAAAAATGCAGGACTGTGGGCTTAGGCCCAGCGAAGGCATCCCAGAGTCCTCAGGACAGCCAGGGCTGCGGGGGCGGGGCCACCAAGACCCCATTTAGCCAGCACTGGGGTAGAAAGCTAAAAAAAGTACTAGGCTAGTGGACAAGTCAGTGGGGAAGCCCACCCTTCAGGGCCCAGGGAAAAAAAGGTGCAGGCAGGGGACAGGTCATGAGCAGGGCTGGCAGTATTTCTGGGCCAGGAAAAAAACCCTCTGGATGGCTGATCTTCCAGAGTCAGAGACGGGGTGCGGAGGCGGTAGTGGGTGGGTGTGTTCTGGCTCACAGACAGGCTGGTCTCCCATGCCATGGCCATGGTCCTGGGGGCCTGTGTTCAGTGTCCAGTGTGTAGCCTCCTGTCTAGGACCTTGAGCCATTCCACATAAAAAAACAGGCAGCCTTCTAGCTGGCCCTGTACCCCACCCTCAGAGGGATGGATGAGCAAAAAAAAACATTATGGAATCACTGCTGAGCAGGCTTGCCCAAGCCCACAGGCTTTTGGGGGGCCCCAGAATCCCAGATTTGGGAACGGCAGTCAGTGAGGCGAGGTGGGAGACTTGCTTAAAAAAAACTTTCTCAGCCTGGGTCCTCTGAGGCTGGGGCGTTTGCAGCGGTTGCTGGGCAAAAAAAAGTAGATGTGCAGTCCCCAAGCAGGCCCTGGACAGGTGTGAGTGCAGAGCTGCAAAAAAAAGCTGCACCCAGGAGGCGCTGAGAGGAAAGTGGGATGTGGGGAGGGAAGGGGAGAAAAAAATGCACTCTGGGGTGTGTCTTCACCGCGGCTGCAGCACAGCCAACCCCCACAGGAAAAAAAGAGTGACTGTGGAGAGCATAACTCCGAGCTTCCCCCACAGAGGGGCAAGGGAGAAAAAAAATTTATCCAATTCTCTGCCCTCATTGGTGAGGGGTGGCTCTCACTCTCTGTGCAAAAAAAAGTGTGTCTCTACAGCCAGAGGGAGTCAAAGGCCTGGCCTCCAGGTATGGAGGAAAAAAAGGAGGGGCTGTGCATGGGCCCCTGACAGCATCTGCTGCAAATCTCTGGCTGAAGCCAGGTCCTCACTGGCACGCAGGCTCCCTGCTCCTGAGGCATCCCCACCAAAGCAGCACATGGTCCTCTGGGCTGAGGGCCTTCGGTGGAGCACCAGGTAGGATGGGACAGGGTGTGGTAAAAAAAGACCGGCAGGCCTGTGAGCGGGGCTGTCCCAATGCTGCCCACCGGATGTGGGAAAAAAAAGACATTCCTCAGGGCCACACCCCTGCCCCTGTAAGGCACACCGAATGGCCCTAAAAAAAAAGAAACCTCCCAGAGGGCAGTGGGGCTGCGGGAGCCTGCGGAGACAAAGCCGGAAAAAAACTGGAGGGGCAGGGTTGTGGAGCAGGGAGGCAGGGGGTGGCTGGCAAGGGTGTTAGAGGGTCTTTGAGGCCGGGGGGGCTCTAGAGCAGTGGTCCCTAACCTTTTTGGCACCAAAAAAAAATGGAAGATAATTTTTCCATGGACACCGTGGTGAGTGGTGGTGACTGGTTTAGAAAAAAAGTGTTCCACCTCAGATCATCAGGGAGGAGCTGGATTCTCATAAGGAGTGTAGCGCCTAGGTCCCCCATATGCTCAGTTCACAATGGAGTCTGCACTCCTATGAGAATCTAATGAAAAAAATGATCTGACAGGAGGTGGAGCTCAGGCGACAATGCTCACTCACCTGCCACCCACCTCCTGCTGTGTGACCCAGTTCCGAACAGGCTGCTGGTACTGTTCCGTGGCCCAGGGGTAAAAAAACCCAGCTGTAGAGCACCCACCATGCTGGAGCAGGGTGTAGCCTGCACCGTGTCAAAAAAACTGCAACTGCACCGTCCTGGCCCCACACAGCGATGGCCCCCAAAAGCTGCCCAAAAAAAATCTTCATGGGCAGGCTGCTCTGGTAGGGGTGATGCCTCCTCAGTGTCATACACAAAAAAATTCAGCACAGCAAGGCCGACTGAGAACCCCCAGCAGCCAGGGAACCACGCATCAGGGGTCACCTTGACCAAAGGGCTGGCCCTCTTGAGAGAGGACAGGAGCCAAACACTCAGGCCTAGGGTTCTGGTGAAGCACAACCTCCAAGCTTGTCGCTAGAACCACACCTGGGGAAGAAAAAAACTTCCTTCCAGTGGCCAGAGCTGTGCTGTCCAATGCAGCAGGCACTAGCCACGAAAAAAAAGCTGTTCAGTTATTAGAATTAAATACAACTGAAAACTCTTCAGTCCCTCAGTAAAAAAAAGCCAATGGCCTCATGTAGCCAGCAGCGGCCATCTCGGACAGCATGGACCTAGAAAAAAACCATCATCTCAGAAAGTTCTACTGGATGGTGCTGGTCCCAGAGAAAGGCCACTAAAAAAATGGGCCACAAGGACCCAGCCCCCCAGACCAGGTATCAGCCCCCCTCCCCGACCAGGGCTTTACTCGCCCGCTCAGGGGACCAAATGTGGCACCTGGGGAAACTGGCAGGCAGTAAAAAAAGTCATAGCATGCTTCAGGGTCCGTGTGGTGGCATGCTGGCTGAGGTAGCTACCAAAAAAACACACCAGTGAGAAGGAGCAGGTGACATGCTGCCACAAAGGACACCAGGGGTCAAAAAAAACCCTCCACTAGTCTCAATGCTCACCTAACTCTGCTCACCTGGGGTGCTTTAAAAAAAAAGTACAGCAGGGCCGGGCACGGTGGCTCATGCCTATAATCCCAACACTTTGGGAGGCCGAGGCGGGTAGATGACCTGAGGTCAGGAGTTCGAGACCAGCCTGCCCAACGTGGTGAAAAAAAGTCTCTACTAAAAATACAAAAATTAGCCAGGCATGGTGGCAGGCGCCTGTAATAAAAAAAACTCAAGAGGCTGAGGCAGGAGAATCGTTTGAACCTGGGAGGCGGAGGTTGCGAAAAAAAAAGATCGCACCATTGTACTCCAGCCTGGGGACAAGAGCGAGACTTCGTCTCAAAAAAAAAACAAAACCAAACAAACAAAATGTATGTACAGGCTGGGAAATATAGTGAGACCCAAAAAAAACAAAAATAAATAATTAGTGGGGCATAGTAGCACACGCCTGTGCGCCCAGCTAAAAAAAAGGCTGAGGTGGGAGGATCACTTGAGCCCAGGAGGTTGAGGCAGCAGTGAGCCATGATCACACCACTGCACTCTAGCCTGGGCAGCAGATCAAGACTTTGTCTCAAAACAAACAAAAAAAAAGAAATGGACTTACCATATGACCCAGCAATGTATCTCAGAGAAATGAAGACTTAAAAAAATGCAGAAACTTGCATCTGAATATTAATAGTGGCTTTGTAAGTGCCCCAATTTGAAAAAAAGAGGAGCTGCACAACTGCGCCCTGGAACAGTGCTCAGCAGCAGGAGGGACAGAAAAAAAATGGAGTTTGGGCAGATCTGGAGGAAAGCAGGATGAGAAGGAGCCAGTCTCACAAAAAAAACTCGTGTGCAGTTCCTCTGCATAGCGCTCCTGAAATCACATGGCTGCCCCATGATGAGGACAGATGAGTGGCTGCCAGGGTTGGGGAACCGGGCTGCGGACAGGTGTGGCTGTAAAAAAATAAGCGTGAGAGAGCCTTGGGGAGAGCATCTGGTGAGGACCTTGATTATGGTGAAAAAAACACCACCATCATCAGCTACATACAGGAGAAAATTGCACAGAGCGGTGCATGCAAAAAAAAGTGATGCAGGTCATTTGGCGGTCCGCAGGCATCCCCAGCCCCGCTGGGCTGCTCTGTCCCTCTGCCTTCTGCCTCCCACCACTCCTGCCCCCTCTGATGTCTCCTCCTGTCTTAAAAAAATGGACGAGAGGTGTGCCACAGCTTAACCCGCTCAGTGATGGACTCCAATGCCCAAAAAAAGTCTCACCTGGGTAAGAAGTGGAGGATCCAGGCCCAGGAGAATTTTGCCAAGAAAAAAAAGTACAGGTGCAGGACGCTCACACCTCTGGAACCAAGGCTTGCCTCCCCCAGGTAAAAAAAGCATCCTGGGAACCCAAATGCATTCTGTGGGGCTGCAGCTGGGAGGGGGTTTAAAAAAAAGGAGCCCCTCAGCAGCCCTTGCGCAGCTGACAGTCTGGGGTCTGCCTTCATTACCCCCATCACAGCCTAAGCTGAGGGGTCTCTGGGTGGGCTCAGGCCTCCTTGGGTCATCCAAAAAAACAGGCCAGCTACTTCCCCAAGTCACCCTAGGAGCATGGCCACAGATGACTGCCAAAAAAAAGCTGTGTTGGAATTGGTGTGCTGGGCACCCATTGTTTGTGAGCTCCTGGGACAAAAAAATAGCCAGGATAACAGGCTGCCCAAGGGGGCCTGGGCCAAGTCTCCATGGGGCAAAAAAAATAAGGACAGAGCCACAGGCCCAACAGGCAAAACAAACACAAGGGAAACCTTGCAAAAAAAGCCCTGGGCGCAGGGCAGCTGGCCTCCCACCTGCAGGACAGCAGGCAGCACCTGGCACTGGGGCTCAGCTTGGCACCCTGCAACCTCAAGCTTCTCACTCCATGCTCATCCCCAAAAAAAGAAACAGGTGTTGTGCGCCCAGCGGTGGCCCTGGATGCTTGGCAGGGCTGCCCAAAAAAACCATGGGGTACCACCTGAGCAGCAACGCTGGAGGGAGGTGGGGATGATAAGCTAAAAAAAGTGCCCCTGTGCCAGGCCAGCTGAGCACCTGTCCTTGTCCTTGCCCCTGGAGAAAAAAAACATAGCCTTGCACCCCATTATGTCCCCCACCGCAGACACTGTCACATGAGGCCAAAAAAACAGGTACACACCGCACAGGGTGGCCTCAGGTTGAAAACGGGAGGCCAGCACCCAAAAAAACAGGTGCCCTGGACCATTTGGCTGCTGTGGCCATGACAAGGCTCTGGAGGTGGCTGCAGCTTAGCTCCCACCTCCTGGCTGTGGAACCTCTGTGCCTCAGTTTCCTAGTCTATAAAAAAAGAGTAACAACTGCCTCACAGCACGCTTGTGAGATGACATATGGGCTAATATTTAAAAAAAACTTAGAACAGTGCCTGGCAGATGGAAAGTTCCAGATGAGTGAGAGCTACTTCAGGAGGCTGGTGGCTGGTGGACATGTTGACACTCCAAGTGCTGTTGCAGGTTCTCGGGGCTGACAGAGTCTGACCCTGAGCCCCTGCATCCCTGGGAGGTCGCAAACAACTTGAACACAGAAAAAAAGCCTCTGCAGAAGAGGTTGGTGCCAACGAGGTCCATCCCAGTCCGAGGGTAAGTGCCTGCCCTGATGCCACTGTCCCCACTGGCTGTGTGCATGCTGCTTGGCCTTCTGTCCCCTGGTTTTGCATGCAGAAGTTCACGTCATCCTCCCAGCATGTGCCACTTTAAAGCTGAGGAAAAAAAGGCAGAGAAGGGGGACGCTAAAGCCTGGTGACTGTTCCCACAACCAGGCAGCAAAAAAAAAAGGGCACACAGAATCTTCCCTGGGCAGGGCCCAGGCCAGCGGGGGCAGGCCTAAAAAAATGAGTGGTGGAGAAACTGGCCTCGGTGCAGCAGGAGCTTAGCCAAGTCCTCCAAAAAAAAGAGCAGCAAGGGAAGGAGCTGGGAGCTTCTGCGCTCAGTGCAGCTGCACTGGGAAAAAAAATGCTGTACTCCAAGGGTAGAGGCCCTGGCTGGGACCTCTGCACTGGGAGGCCAAAAAAAGACCACAGCACAAACTCTCATGCCCCCTTGTCACCCCATGCATGGAGCGCTCAAAAAAAACCTGGACACCTTTGGAAAGATCCAGTCACGGAAAAGCAGACCCTCAGGCACACAAAAAAACTCCTAAACAGATGTGGAGAAAGAAACAGAGCTTCTGACCCGGCAGCTCCTCAAAAAAAAACGGCATGGGGAACAGCTGTGTGGCACTGAAGGGCTTCCTCCTCTAGCGGTGCAGGATCCCTAGCCTCCTGAATGCCCTGGCCCCCAGCCCACTCCAGTTAATGTCAGGGGCAAAAAAAAGTCTGTGTTGACTTTTCTGTGCCCATTGTTTACTATACTGCATGTCAACTCTGAAAAAAAATAAGGACGCACATGAGCTCCCCTGAACGGATACCTGGAGAGACAGTAGCGCCAAAAAAACACACACACACACACACACACACGAAGAACAGATGCACACGCACACTCAGCACAAAAAAAGAGCAAACGGCCCTGGCCTTTGCCAGGCGTCACTCTCCGTAGTTTGGCTATAGAAAAAAAAGATCCCTAGGCTTTTGCCCCACATCTCCAAGCTGAAGCGATGGGGCTTAGCGGCCAGGGCTGGGTTCTGAGAGCTCAGATGTTCCTGGTCTCAGATTCTACCCATGCAAAATGGAGTGGCTTAGAGTCAGGGGCAGCTGTGGGGTCAGAGCAGAGGCCTGGGGCTGAACGCCAAAAAAAGGGAACATGTCAGGGAGCTGAAGGGGGCAGTGTGCAGAGCAGAGATAGGGGAGAAAAAAATGACCAGGGACTGAGCGGCTCCCAGGGCCCAGTCACAGTGGGGAGTCGGTCCCAAAAAAAGGCTGGAGGAGTGGGCATTGGTGAGTTTCCACATCTCTACAGCCAGGCCCATGAAAAAAAGAGCTAGGGAAGGGGCTGTGGGTGTCAGCCTTGGTCAAATGGCAGCAAAACAGTGGGGAGCAGGCAGAAGGGAGCTTTCCCACCCGTCCTGTGGGGGAGCTGCAGAGACAGTCAAAAAAACGGGTGGCAGGCTGGGTCCTGCATGTAGCTGCTGGGAGATGGGCTGGAAGGAGAAAAAAAGAGAGGGTGGCCTCACACTCAGGTTGGCGTGGCAGAGAGGTATGCCTCCAGCAAAAAAAAAAAATAAAGCTCTCTTAGTGGATGGGCAGGACTCGAGACCATGTCCCCAGCCAAAAAAAAGCCAGGGGCCCAGGAGGCACTGGGGGGCTTCTAGATTCTGGCTTGGATGTTGGAAAAAAAGAGGAGCCTGCGTGGGTGTGTGAGTGTGCGGTGCCCCCATGGCTTCCTGGGACAAAAAAAGGCAGCCGCTCCGTGTGGAGGGGCCAGGTCTAGCCTGGTTGGGAGCAGATGTTAAAAAAAGCCCTCCCAGATGTGACCCTGACTGACTTCTCTGGGCTGCAATGGCTGCAGCCAAAAAAAATCCTGAAGGCCAGGTGTGGCTCTGTGTGGCTTCTCTAGGCTCGGGGCTTCAGAAAAAAAATCACCGTCCAGCTCCTGCCCGGCACCACTACCAGCACCACCGCCACCTCCACTGTGCAACCTTTGGGAACTCAAGTTGCTGAGTCGCCGCTTCCCCAGACAACTCGCCTTCCTGCTGTCCGCCCCGCACACTAAGGCTACCGGCCCCCAGACCAGCGAGGCGAAAGGGCCATCCAGGGGCCGCTCCTAGAGCCTGGGCTCTGTGTGGCCTCCTTGTTGGCCACCTTCTCCTTGGCAGGCTCTGGGCAATGGCCACAGAGACTTTAGTGAAGCAATCAGCCTTCATGGCCATCAAAAAAAAGGAGAACTTTGCGGTCCCCCCAAAAAGCTACGCCAAGCTAATAAACTTCGGGAAAAAAACCCACTTCCAGTTGGAATGATCACTTTGCCTCTCTGAGCCTTCATTTTCTCATAAAAAAAATTGTTGTAATAACGTTTAATCTTGCAGAGTTGGTGTCAGAATTAAAGAGTGTAAAAAAAACTTCTAGGACTTTATCCCAAATGTACACTCACACAAGTAAGTAAATGCTGTTAACTCCGGTACTGCTGGAAACAGCAAAGGATTGGAAAGCAGCTAAACCGTTTCCTAAACACTGACAGGAAGCTGCTAAATTATACAGCTACTCCCAGAAATCTTAGGCAGCCATTCAAATAAAAAAACAGCTCTTTATAGACTGACCTGAATGATCTACAGGTCTATTACAATTTTTGTTAAAAAAAACAGCAGAAGAGTGTGTCTGATATGCTGCCATCTTGTGTGTACTAAAAACGTGAAAAAAAGTGTGTGTGTGTGTGTGTGTGCGCGCGCGCGCGCGCTGTGGATGAGGAGCAGGAAAAAAACATTACCTTTGAGGAGGAGAATGGGGACCCTGGGGACAGCACCGAGAATGAGGAAAAAAATTTTATGGGTTGCCATATATGAGCCTAATGCCGTATTCCTGTATTACAACATCAAAAAAATAAGGCGCATGGTGTGGCTACTGGAGGCTGGTGATGCCTTTGGAAAGCAAGACAGCAGCACTAGGAAGCGGGGTGCCTGCTGAAGATTTAAGGGTCCCCCACTGTGTTCTACAAAAAAAAGCTAGAAAGTCACCTTGGAGTCCTTGGGAGGGTAAATAAAATCAGGACACTAATTGCAGCCCTCTCCCTGGAGAGGGAGTGGGTGGGGGACCCCACTAAGTGGGGTGGGCAGGAAAAAAAATTGTCTCAGAAAGGAGATGGAGTGAGGACCCTTATGATGAAAAGATTGAAGGAAAAAAACTTCCCAGGCCCTGGGGGCAGGACAGGAATGGGTTCCCAACCTGCAAGAAGCAAAAAAAAGAGTCACATCTGTGGTGTTCAGGGAAGGGCAACCAGGCCGCACTGTGCCACCCAAAAAAAGACTCCAGGCTCCCTCTCCAGGTGGGGCCTCAGGTTCATGCAGGGGACTCACAAAAAAAACCTGGGGGTAGAGTACAGCTTCCAGCAGCACCCGCAGACCTGCAGGAAGCAGAGACCCCTAGGGTCCCCTCCTGTGGAAATGGGAGCCAGGTTGATCTTCATTTGGACTGTATAAAAAAAGAGGAGGTTGTCTCTTGAGGTGTAATGTATGCGCTGTTTGATATCAGCAAAATAAAAAAACGCATGTCTACCATGCAGCATAACCAGGGAAAGAGACCCGCCCTTACCCCTGCAAAAAAATCCTTCCTCCACTTCCCCCCGCTCCTGAGTTCCTCCTCCCCTGCCCATCAGGTAAAAAAATCTTTCTCCCTGCTTTAAAAACGTTATATCTTGGCCAGATGTGGTGGCTCACGCTTATAATCCCAACACTTTGGGAGGCTGAGGGCAGGTGGATCACTTGAGCCCAGGAGTTGGAGACCAGCCTGGGCAACATGGTGAAACCCCGTCTCTACTAAAAATACAAAAATTAGCTGGGCATGGTGGCGCACACCTGTGATCCCAGCTACTCCGGAGGCTGAGGCAAGAGAATGGTTTGAACCCAAGAGGTGGAGTTTGCAGTGAGCTGAGATCACGCCACTGCACTCCTTGAAATAACACATTGTTTGCTTTTTTCAGTTATGTAAGATGGTATCAAACTCCGTGAAACTTTTTCCTTCCACAGCAAGTTGCTAAGAGTCATGGGATGATGATGCTACCGCTGTAGTTCCTTCATTTTCCACTGTTTCTCATTCCATGATGTGTCCATTCTCTTTTGGGTAGATGTCTGGGTTGTTTCCACTTTGTGGTACAGTGGGTGCTGCTGCTCTAGGTATTCCTGTCCCCGTCCCCTGGGGTGTACTCTCTCCCCTCCCCCACCCAGGATAGGATTTGCTGGTTGGTTGGTCGGAGGGCTCCTGAGCGCCTCCTTTACCAGCTCGTGCCAGACCATTTTCCAGATAGTTCCCAGCCTCTCCAGGTTCCCTCTGGTCCACATCTACACTACATGCAGGGCCCAGAGCTTTTGGGGCTGGAGCAGGTGGAGGTGCTGGCTGCCTGCTCTTCCACTCGTGATAGCAAAGCTGTTGGTGGTTTGTAGAAAAGGTTGGTAACTCATTACCTGAATCCAGAGTCACTTATAAAAACATACATGGTCTTTAATTCATGCCTCCTCTCCTGGGCGTTTAAAGGAAGAGTCTGAGGGCAGCCAGGATGTGTTTGCAGCCCCTGCCTTGTGCACCAAGTTTAGGTTTATGTGCATGTTATTCCTACAAAGAAGAAAATGAGCCCCCAGGAAGCTGTACCACATGGAAGCCCTTGCCGAGGAGCGGGCGACAGCTGAAATGTTTAACAGGAGAGGGATGGTGCAGCAATACTCTCTAAGCACAGCTACTCCATAAACTTTAGAAATGCTCACGCAGCAGCCCAGATAGCAACACAGGCCCTGTGCCCTGCCTCTCAGTGAGGCCATCTGGGTCCCCATGTGCCCTTAGGCTGTGAGCAGTTACAGTCAAACACAGATCCACAGGTGGAAAGGAAAAGGCACGGTGGAGGTGCATTGGGGGGTGTGGACCCTCTCCTAGCAGTTTATCCTGCAGTCACACTCACACCCATGCAGGAGGAGGGTATGCAACAACACGTCGGCATTGCCACAGAAAATAATCCAAACTAACCTAGCATTTAAGACCAGTGGAACAAATCAGCACGTCGTCATGGAATTATGGTTGATTCCCTCTTTGCCTGAGTCCTGCAGAACCAGCTCTGGAAGCAAGGATGGAGTGTGAGTAGTTTATGTGAGGGACAATCCCAGTTAGCTCATAGAGAAGTAGGGAGGAGACAGGGAAGGGACCGAACCGGACAAGGAATGTGCTCTTGAGCTGGCAACCACAGCTTAGTCTGCTGGGACCACCGTAGCAAACACCATAGGCTGGGAGTAGTTAAACAATGTTTATTTTCTCCCAGTTCCAAGGAAGGCTGGACGTCCAAGGTGAAAGTACTGAATGCCTTGGTTCTCTGATAGGGGCTCTCTTCCAGGCTTGTAGATGGCTGCCTTCTCCCTGTGTGAGAGGGAGAGGCAGGGAGGGAGACAGAGAGGACTCTCCAGTGGCTCTTCTTTTGAGGTGGGATTAGTAATCCCACCATGGAGACCCCACCCTCATGACCTCATCTCAATCTGTTCACCTCCCAAAGGCTCCATTGCCAAATAGCATCACATTGTGGGTGAGGGCTTCCACATAAGACTCGGGAGAACATAATTCAGTCCACACCAGCCACTGAGGGCATTTGCTGCCCAGTCCCTGCGGGGAAATCTTGGGCACCATGCAGATTGTGTCTCAGTGTCCTTCATGCAGGGATAAAATCTGAAGCATTTATCCCCCGACTTCCATCAGATGTGGGTGAGGACTGCTCCCAGGGGGCACTAACTCCTGCACACCCAACCTTCTTGTGCTCAGGCCAAGAGGCCTGGTGGTCAGAGGGAGCCTGTGGGAGGGTTGCAGATGCCAGGGAGCCCATTGACGCACCCAACCTAAAACTGGCTGTCAGTTCCCAGACTCCCTTGCCACTGAGAATGGCAGTGAGGTAGGTTCAGGCCAATGGCATTGCACTGGAAATGGAATGGACCGTCCAATTTGTGTCTTTAAAGCAAACTTGAGTGCCCTTCTTTTCCCTTCGACACTGGGATACTCGAAAAGTGAATGGCTCACTCTCAGGGAAAAGGGCCAGGCCCTAGAGACTGGGGAGCAACAAAAGAGAAGGGTCCTGGGCTTCAAGTGGCCCCCAATGGAGCCTCTGTCCCACCAGCCCTGAGCCCCCTTCCTCTAGATAACAGAAAACACCTTAAACGACTGTCATCAAGCCTTTGTCCCAGACAACCACACCTGTTTCCTCATGCAGGAGCCGCAGCATGATGGGGAAAGGCGGCATCCTGAGATCTGGGCCCACTGACCCCTTGGAGTGTGCTGGTGACACACATTTGGAGCTGCACCCAGCAGCTCTGGGCCTTGCCTTCACCCTGCTGCTGTCGCACTCATTGCTGAAGCCCACAGATGCATTCAGCTGTGCTTCTAAAACAATAATGCATGAAATCTCACTGTTTGTGAGAAACCAGGGATTTATTTTAATTTTTAAGCATTGGAAACATCCCTCTCAGGAAGCTGCCTGGATGATAAAGACACAGAATAAAACTGGAAAAACAAAAAAACAAAAAAACCCTACCCCATAACTGCAGAAAAATTTTTGGTTAACATTTTCCTGACAATGAAAGCCAGAAAAAAAGCAAAAGGACACTTACACTTATTTTAAAGAAGTCTGTAACCAAACCAGCAACGGCATCCCATCCTGGGAAGTGTCCCACCAGCGCTGTCCAACTTGAAGAGACTGAAAACCTGGGAAGTAAAAGACAATGTCAAGGAAGTTAAAATGCTGCGTGACCTTGGGTTTGTGCCATCAGCCCTCTGTGGGCACTGGACTATGGTTTTGACAATCACTTGCCTGAAGGAGGTGCCAGATGGAGAACCACCTGGGCACCCCCCTGTGTTGTCCAGCTCTGCACATGTGACTCTGTCTTTCTTGGATCCTCTAGTGATCCAGCTGGGACCCCACAGGGTGGTCATCCTGTGATCTGTGAGGACACAGATGTTCTGGCACCAGCCAGAGAGGAAACAGGCCAGAGCAGGTGGAGTTCCCCAAGAACAGCCTCCAGAGCTGCCCCAACTCCCTCAGTCCTCAAGGGCCTGGGCTGTGGCCCTGCACACACAGCAGAGGGTGCAGGGCTGCATATGGTGGATATGGCACCTGCGTGACACTGGGTGCCTGCAGTGTCTGCACATGGGGACATCAGTGGGGGAGCAGTGGAGTAGCTGCC